TAAATTATCTGGAATTTTAAGAGCTGGATGTACTAATATAGAACTGTTGTTTGATTCTGGCTTCAGTTTGTTAAATGTTTACTCACAATCCGTCCACAAAAACTTATTTGGTTTCTCAAGTAAATTGCATATAGGACATTTTACATATAGGACATGCATATGTCATAGAATTGTTTTAGAAAATGTGGATATGAAAAGCAAAGTACAAGAACGCCTGTTATTTTCTGGAACTTTCTTTGTGTTAGTGTATTCTGAACAGATTCAATCTCATATGGGTCTGTGGACACTCCCTCTCTGCTGACAAGTTGTTAGAACAACTCACTTTTCTTGGAATTTAGCTTAAGGTTCTCTTTCCTTGATCAATCCAGAACTTTCCTTAGCCCATCATAAGCATTATCAAAGGTTATTTTTCGTATCCTCTTAGTAGATGAGTACGTAGGTAGATCACAGAAGACACAATCCAATAGTCACTGAAGAGTAGCAGGTGTATTATATAATCGAAATGGTAACATAACAAACTGCCACAGTCTTTTTTATGCAACAAAATGTGTCTTCTCTCTGATTTCTTCATGAATTTACACTTGCTAATATCCATTCTTCAGATCCAATGTTGAAAACAATTCTGATCCGGATAAGACATGAAAAGTAGAATCAGTCCTTCACGGTCTATCACAGCCATCTGGTTTTCTCTGTGGTTTCATTCACTATTCAGCAATTCACGCAGAACATTGTGGATCCATTCATTTTATCACAACTACAATAGGTGATGGCGAGGGACTGGTACTCAGTTCTATTACTCTTAATTCCTTCGTGGACTCTATCTGTTTGAAAGCCTCAGCTAACTCAAAGGCATCTAGCTGACTGATAAGCTAGAGGAGCAGCTATTATGAGGTAAAGTGTAAGGAACATTGATTTGGTTTGAGAGAGCAGCGACTTTTGGTAAGTCACTAAGGGATTAGGGAATTACAGAACTCTAAGTCATTAGAAAATTATTAGAGTGAGTAGCCACCTTTCTTGTTCAGCCAGTGTGGAGATTCTTGAATTCTCTATGACCATGACATATTGTAATCCGATATTAGGGAAACAGGTATGCAAATTCTGGAGGAAAAGGGACTTGTTTGAAGTGAGTTTTTAGAAAGGAATATGAAAGATAAGATTTCAAAGAAAAGAAAGAGAAAAGATCAGGAGAAGGAAGGTCAGAAAAATAAGCCACGAAAGGCGAAGGAAGAAAGTAATATGTTGCCAGTAAGAAACAAAACTAGTTTTAAATCTATGTGTTATTGGTTATGTTATTCAACAAAAAATATTATGTTTGTATTGGTATGAGTCAATTCCGGATAGTAATAGATGCAACCTAAATAATGTTGATGGACATAAGAAGGGATAGCACAGTGCAAGTATAGCATGATTATCTATGCGCTCTCTAACAGCAGCACCTCCTGTATCATCATTGTGAACTATTTTATTTGTTTGGCCTAATTCATGACGTACCCTGGAAGTTCCAAGAGCAAGCCATATAGTTTATAACAACAATCATATTTACACCTCTGGTTGTACAGCTTTATTAAGTGAGATGGTAAGCTTTATTTCTGTGAAGTTTGATATCGGGCTATGTTTTGCCTCAGAGATGATTACATTAACGTTGTTGTTTTTTCGATATGGAAGTACGACTGCTATAGTTTGATACTCTATAATATCTCATTCAGACTTCATTCAAATTTTATGCTTTGTTGTGTTTGTGGCCCCAATGATGACATTTATCTTTTAGACCAACGAGTGTTTTACCAACCAATACTGTCTAGGAACGTACTGAATGGTTTGGTTCTACTAAGATCTTGTGACTAGTTGTAAATTTATTCCTAATAAGCGCTGGTATGAATATTTCACTCATTGGTGTGTAGTGACTGCCCTCCCTGCTGTCACTGGAATATATACCTCTCGTATAGTAATTTTCCTGGTCATACACTGTAATGCCATTTGAAGGTAGCTTAACCTCGCTACCCTGTCTTCCTATAAAGTCAATTCCAACTATACACTCTTCCTCAATGTTAATTGCTTACACATTATAATGTGAAAAGAGTCTTCCTACAATAATGGTAACATACAATATTCCTTTATTTGAAGCTTTGTGTCTATTTGTTGTTGTTTTTTGTACTAGTCCATAAGTTCAACTAATTTCGAGTCATCTCCAAACTTTATGTTTCAAAATGTGGGTTCTTCGTCATTAAATTAGCTCATTGATGTTCCTATGATCTCAGGGTATTTCCTTCTTGGTATATTAATAGTTACCGAGCTATTGATTTCTCACAGTCTCAGCTGTAATGGCCATCATCATCTCCACATGTATAACAGTTACTTTTCTCTGACATCGCTTTTATTCCATACAGACCTTTTTTTGAATTTCCGGAGAAAATATATCCTTTCAAATTACAGATAGAATATTTATAATTCTATGTTTAACAAAGTGTCAAATTAATCTTTTTAGTTCTTTTAGACTACTTTCAGAAGGAGTTAATTTTCCATTGCTACTTGATCTGATGATTCTATTATGTCATGGATTTCGCGCGAAGTTACACGAGGGCTATCTGCGCTAGCCGTCCCTAATTTAGCAGTGTAAGACTGGAGGGAAGGCAGCTACTCCTTTACCAACGAATAGTGGGATTGGCCGTCACATTATAACACTCCCACGGTTGAAAGGGCGAACATGTTGGGTGTGACGGGGATTCGAACCCGCGACCTTCAGATTGCGAGTCGAGCGTCCTAACCACCTGTTCATGCCGGGCCTGATGTGATGGTCTCCTAACTTTCAGATGAAGTCTTTAGCTGTTTATATGTGACTTTAATGAATTCAAGTTTTGTTACTAACTGGAGAGCTTCCTTTGAAGTCGTCCCAGCTTTTTCAGTGATAAGGAAGCTAGTCAACACCACACACCGCCAACTTTTGAGCTACTCTTTATCTTCGACATGACATAAAAGCCATTGTCAGAGCGTAGTGTTGCCAAAATGCACTGACCTTTCTATATATTGAAAGTTTGTTAATCTAATTGATTTTTACCAATAATTATTCTATGAATACGCCACGAATTCATTTCA